CATTGAACTCAATGCGGACAGTGATAACAGCTGAGTGAATTAAGGAAGACAATGTAAGATATGAAGGAACCAAACTCAAAATTTGGAGATTAAAAACTCATAAAATTAAAGAGATAATTAGCAAATGATATTACATCAATATACAAAAATCATCTACACAGAGAGAAAACAACATAGTGGAAGAAAATCTTTCCATGGTTCATTTGAGAGAGAATTAATATCTGTAATTCATACAAACTCAAACAGCATTAAGATAACAAATAATACGATACAAGCCTGGCGGATGATGTAGACTGACACATCACAAAAGAAACAATTCAAATAGGAAATAAATATATAAGAGAGGCTCTACTCGCTGGGCGGTGGTGGTGCATGCCTTTAATCCCAGCACTTAAGAGGCAGAGTCAGGTGGATCTCTGTGAGTTCGAGGCCAGCCTAGTCTACAGAGTGAGTTCCGGGACAGGCAGATTATGTTCATTACATGCATAAAAATCATAATGAAACATCTGCATAATTAATGTGTATTAACTATTATAACACTGAAAATAATAAATACCATTTGTTATATAAGTGAGACACTCTACAAAAAGAGATCATAAAATTGAAAATATTAGAATTAAAACTCTCCAGAGATTTTGGGAATATAGGAAATAATACTCACACAGTGACTGCTAAAATTTCCAGAGAATAAACCTGAAACTGATGGAGAACAAGTCACCATCTGAGGTAGATGATATCAGAAAGTCAATAAAATGTCAATAGTAAAGAATGAAAGTTCTAGAAAATAAAACAGAATTAGAAAGAGTCATCAGCAGGGCTAGGTCCTAAACAGAGTGCTCAGATTCAACTCCATAGTGTATGAAACTGCACAGGGCAGGAACCAACATTAAAGACAAAAAAGCTCAAAAATGCATCATCCTTTAAGTGGGAGGAAACACAGTGTGCAGACTGGCATGGGACACAGACAGGAGGAGAGAAGGAGAAAAAAGCAATAGAGACTCAAAAAACCACAATAGACTCTGGTGACCAAGACCTTATGCAGAAGTCCTGATGCTAGATGAGCTATTCTAAAGAATGACATTTGGGCCTCTTCCTTGGCCTATCGGATCATTTAAGCAGTGTGCCCCCAGAGAGCTGAACATTTCCTGAGAATCCCACCTTGGGAAAAGGGAAAGGTCCAAACTCTTCATGCTAGCCAGAGGAAAACCTGCTTCATAGAAGACTTCCCAAAGATCTGCTAATTTATTCCAGAGTTAAATTAGCATATTCATGTACACATTTCATGATTTTTATTTTCCCCTTTTGTATAACATTTTAATGCTGCTATAGGGAAGTCAGAAAAAAGTGGGAGTCTGTATCTATTCAAGTTGGACTAATTGTAAATAAATCCATTATTCTCAACCAATTTCCGTTTCCCAGCTTCCTTTTAAAATCTGGGGAATGCAGGAAGTAGGTTCATGGAACTAAGTGCTAGTAACAATCTTGGGGAAGCAAGGTAGGAGGCAAACTCTTGGCTAAAGAGTTGCTAAATTTCAAGAGAATTTCTACCTCCTCCAAGTCTTGTAGTACTTGCCCTGATCCTTGGGTGTCAGTTATTTACAAACACATACTGCTGAATTAGTAAAAGAAAGGGAGCTTTTAGATCTTGAGCTGATCTTATTTGTGACTGTCACCCTCGTTGTTCAGTTTTATGATTTAGAGAGTTCTTGGTAGACTTTTAAGGTTCAGGCCTTGGGTTATTTTGTACCCTTGGCACCAGTCTGTAAAGAAGGCATGTTACCACAGTTTTTTGGATAAAAGGAAGCTGCAGTAAGCTAAACTTGGCCACCAGCCTCCATACACCAATTAAAATGTCCTAGTTTGCTTTCTATTGTTGTGATAAAGCACCATGACCACAAGTAACTTGTGGGAAAGAATTATTTGGATTACACTACTACATTCACAGTCCATCGCTGAAGGAAGTTAGGGCAAGAACTCAAAGAGGTCAGGAACCTAGAAGCAGTAACTGAAGTAGAGACCACATAAGAACACTGCTTACTGACTTGTTCTCCATGGCTTGTTAATCTTACTTTTTTAGTACAACCTGGGACTACTTGCTAAGGGGTGGTGCTGCCCAGTGTAACCTTGGCCCTCTCATATCAATCGTTAATCAAGAAAATGCCCCCACAGACTTGCCTATAAGCCAATATTATGGAGTCATTTTCTCGGCTGATGCGCTCTCTTCCCAGATGACTCTATCTTGTGTCAAGTTGACAAAAAAACCAAAACAAACAAAAAAACAAAACAAATGAACAAATGAAAAAAAAAAACAAACACCACAGCAAAGAATAGTGACAATCGGAGAAAAGAGGTTCATTCAGTGTAACTGCAGGAGTTCAGTGATTCCCCAAGTTGATATTGAGGGGAATTGTGAGAGCTCTAAGTTTAAATAGAGGACAAAACTATGCATAGTTAACACAGCTTTGGACAAGGTCTAGGACCACTCATCATTGCCATGGTCTCAGTCTCTCCTGCAAGGTGGTCTGATAGTCACAAGAACCATGGAAAATCACTTCCGGGAATCAAGTTCCTCCTGCTGGGCAGCAGAACTCCAGCCTTTCCTTTCCTGTCCACAGGATTCCTGTGGAAATTTTAATTCTCTGGGGTCTATTGTCTTAAGATTATAATAGCCAATGGGAGGGTCATAAGTGTCTGTTTTCAGGATATTTCTTTTCCTTGTAGGGCCGTTACAAGTCTTTTCTGTTTCTTTTAGACATCAGTCTTGAGGGACGTTAGGTGATGTAATTGATTTGGCAAGAAAATTCTTGAAATATTTTGCTGAAAGAATTATGAACAGAATACAAAAAGGAGCCACAGCTAGAAGACATTCGTTTAATATCAGATAATCATGCTTGAGAACAATTTCTCCATAACCTCCAGATAAGTGAACATGATTTCATTTTTGCCGTTGGCATTAAGACAAGGTCTCAATATGAAGCCTAGGGTGCCCTCAAAATCAGTCCTCCTGGTTTAGCCTTCCAAGGATGGGATTACAGGCAAGTGACACCGCATACAGGGTAACCTCATTCTAATTTTGACAGCTACCATCTTTTCACAGTTTTCTCTGATGATACCACTGCCTAACCATCTGGTAATTTTTTTCTAACTACCTCTCATCTCTGAGATGAGACCTTTCCTAGTTGCTTTCATATGATCCTATGTTGGGTGAGATGACAGATTTAAAGAGTTGATGACAACCCCTCCCTTATAAAAAAGGCCATTACTGTGTTGGTGGCAGGACCCTAGAGAGGCAAAAGTCCTTCCCTGTATGGTCTATTCTAGCACCCAGGATAAGGGTCATACTATAAGAATTAGCTTAGAGAGTACCTCTAGTTAGAGGGGTTTTCCCTTTGATGCACCCAATTCCATAAAACAAAAACTACTGAATATAACATCACAAACTGACCTCAATAGAACAATAGTGGGTACCTACAATACCCTACTCTCTCCAATAAATAAATTAGCCTGCCAAAAATCAAACCTTATATATCAAAGATGGACTTATTAGATATTTTAAGAATATTACTTACATTCAGCAGACAGAAAATATACTATGCTCACAGCAACCTATTGAGGTTTCTCCTAAATAGACCATATTTTAGAATACAAAGCAAGTTATAACACACAATAAAATTGAAATATCTTCTCATATTCTATCTTATCAAAATGAAATAAAACTTAGAAATCAACAGCACAAGAAACTACAAAAAATACACAGACCCACCCAGATTGGACAATGCGCTATAGAACAATCAATGTGCCATGAAAGAAATCATGAATGAGGTTAAATTCTTTTGTAGAATTTAATGAAAATGGAAACAAAACATATCAGAGCACAAGACACAACGAGAATGATTCTAAGAGGAGAGTGTATAACTATGCATAACTATATTAAACTCTTAGAGAGTTTAGGGAGATGAGTCACTGTTTCAGAGTGTATATTGCTCTTGCAGAAACCCTACATTTGGTTCCAAGCATACATGTCAGACAGACCACAGTTAGTCAGAATTTCTTCTCTAGAGATTCACTCTTCTGCCCTCTGTGGGCAACCATACTCATATATACACACACATTTATTAAAGATAAAATCTTTTGAAAGCCAGTCTAGTTCTGGTACTGTGGCCTCCAAATCCTTTCTGTTTTGGAGCCACCTCTCCTATATAAGTCATTTTCTTCATAGAAGAAAACTTCCCCAAATTAAGAAAAGATATACCCAGACAGATACAAGAATCACACAGAACCTGAACTAGACAAGACCAGAAAAGAAATACCGATGACATATCATAGTTAAAATGTTAAATATACAGAAAAATTAAAAAAAATATTGAAATCTGCAAGAGAAAAAATGAAAGTGCCATATAAAGGAAAACCTGTTAGAATAACACAAAGTGTTCACAGTGAACAGTTTGAAAGCCAGATGAGCCTGGAGCAATGCCCACTCAGTTCTAAAGCACTATGACTGCCAACCTAGATTACTGTACCCAGCAAAACTGTGGCATTATTGAAGGAGCAAGAAAACTTGCCATAATAAAACAGCTTAATATTCATACCCAACACCCTCCCACACACACTAAATAGAGTACTAGACCCAAGACATCAAGCTAAGGAGGAATAAGCAGAGCCAAAAGACTCTAAAGAGAAAAAAAATGAAGCTATAATTTAATGAAATAAAAGCACAATTAAGAACAAAAAGCAGCAAAAATCATCAAAATGACTACAATCTACACATGCCTTTCAATCCTATTTCTACATATTAATGGTCTCAACTCTCATATTAAAAACACACACACACAGGTTAGGTGAATGGATTAAGAAACAAAATCCATGTATTTGTTGTCTGAAGAAACTCATCTTTTTTTTTCTCAGGTTTTTCTTTTCTTTTTCTTTTTTAAGAGTGCAATGGTTTTTATTTGCTTGAAAAGGTCCAATTTTAGTTTTTCTTTAAAGCATACGAAGGCCATCTAATCTTCAGACTCTGAGTCATCTTCATCCTGACCAATCTGGAAATCGTGAAGTTCGTAGGTCTCCTTGTCAGATGCAACAACACGAAACCAGTCACAGAGATTATTCTTCTTAAAGTATTTCTTGGTAAGATATTTCAAATAACTTTTAGAGAACTGTTTCTCAGAAACAACTGTGATTTTATTCTTCAAGCATTCAATGTGAACAACATTTCCAAGATTTCCAGTTTTTCCATTGACTTTAACCTTCTCCTGGAGAAACCGTTCGAAGTTTCCAGAATCAAAAATTCCATCTTCCACCGGATGAGTGAGGTCCAAATGGAACCTCCAGGTCGGCTTCTTGTCTTTCTGCGGTGCCATATTGTCCTGCGGCAGTGGGAAGGTTTCTCAGGTTTTTCAAGACAGAGTTTCCCTGTTTAATAGCCCTAGCTGTCCTGGAACTCACTACAGACCAGGCTGGCCCTTTAAAATTTTTTAAAGTATTTTTATTCTAAAACAACCTTTTTATACTTTCTCAATGCCTTTTCAAGTTTCGTTTATTTTTGAAAACACCATGCATATACACAATGAAATATCGTATCTACCCTCAGCTTTCCACTTCCAATCTTCCCATGCATATCTTCCCTAACACGCTCCTCTCCAAACTCTACAGCTTTCATTTATTTTATTATCCACTAAGTCCAGTTAGTGTTACCCATATATTCATGCGGGGGGGGGGGGGGCATCTACTGGAGCATGGGAAACTTACCAGTGTCCATATCCTTAATTAAGAATGATTATCTTATTCTGGAGAAATTGCTCAGTGGTTAAGAGGAGTATTGGCTGCTCTTCCAGAGGACCTAGGTTCAATTCCCAGCACCCACACGGCAGCTCACAACTGTCTGTAATGTTGGTTCCAGGGAATATGACATCTTCACACAGATATACATGCAGATAAAACACCGAAGTACATAAAATAAAAAAAGAAAGAAATGATGGCTGTGTCTGTCAAACTGCCCTCTATATGTGTGTTTACACCCATAGATCATGGCTGTTACCTGCCTCATCTCTTAACCATTGGTGAAGCTCCTGAGAACAAGTGACTATTATTGAGGCATGGTGGCCTATTTCTTAGTCTTGAGTGGACTTCTGCAGTCACTGCAGGGATCATTGTGGAAGAGGGGTCTGAAAGAATATAAAAGCTAAAGGAAGGGATGGAGTGTTGTGTAACAGTCCCCCAGAGATTGAAACATGCCATCCTGCAGGAAACTCCTTAAGAAGAAAGGTAAACAACTCAAAATAGTTTCAGGAAGTTCCAGAAACTGAACAGATTCACTAGGCTCCTCCCTACCAGAGTAAGCCATAAAACCTGAGAATTCCCTTCAGACTAAGAAGCTGAGCTTCAAAGAAGACTCTGACACTAGACCAGCCGCCTAGAAGGAGAAAGCATCTGAGCTGCCTGGAAGAGGTTTAGATCAATTGGGAGACCTGGAAAGGACACTCCCCTACCTGCTGAACTGCCTGCAGGTTCAGTTCCCAGCTTTGGGATATGCCACTTGTGCTAGTATGAGCTTTGATGATGCAGTTTGTAGGCTGCTTACCAATGACTTAACAGCCAGCTTCCATCTATAAGTGAATATATACTGTATTTGTCTTTCTGGGTCTGAAAACCCACTATGTAAACATGATTGCTGCTTCACTATATGGTGAACACAGTGCCAGCAAATTTGTCACCTGTAATTTGAAAGGACTTAATAACAGCCACTGCAGAGTAAAAACTCTCCCCGGTAACGACTAAAATAAATTGACAATCATGACACCCAATCAGCTTATTATCCTAATTTCAGAAGCAGTTCGTATGTTACTACTGATGTCAGAGTTATTAAATTAAAGGTAAAGAACTCTTCTCTGGGGTGGGCAAATAACAGTTTTCTGGAAGACTTAACTCATTTGGAAGTACTCTGGAGATACAGTTCTGCCCTTCGTACTCACGAAGGTGAGCTGGATGAGAAGCAAGCACAACCAGGCCTCTGCTGAGACTTGCTATTACCTTAGCAGCTGCTGTTAATATACACAAGAAGACAGCACTGATCAAAAGCAATTTCCACCTTTGAACTGATGTACGGACAAGATCGTCTATATTCCTTAGTTGGGGTGATTGATATAAATGTTAAAATGTAGTTGATTCAAATGGTATTTCCCTAATTGATTTGATCAGAAATTATGTTATCATATACAATTTTAAAAAATCTCTTTATCTGGAGAGGTCTTCTCCCCTGACACAACCTTTTAGAGGTAATAAAAGTCAGAATAATAGAAAGGTAGGGACCACTCTTACATCACAACATCCAGTAAAAATTACCCTAGTAACCAACTCTGATTTTGCCACAGCAGCAAGTGAAAACTCAGAAGATGTGCATACTCCCTCCCAACACTCTATATCCATCCTGACAATTTTGCCTCTCAACCTTGTCTACACTGTGTCTTCAAAGAATCAATCAGTTGTAGTTTAGGCTTTCCAGTCATGTACTGGTTGTTGCTGTTTTTGTTGTTTGGTCATTTGTTTTTGTTTTTATTGTTTGGAATCATTGTTTTTTGTTTGTTGATTGGTTGGTCTGAAATGTAAGGAAACCTTTTATTTTGGCTCACTATTTGGCTCAGAGTGTGCAGGACAACAAGCTGGTGATACAGCTTCCCATTGTGTGCCTTCCTTCAGGAAGATGAAAAGAATGAAGTAGTGGCTTACTCCCTCTTGACATTTTATTCAGTCCAGGAAACTATTCCAAGAGATGGTGCTACCTGCATTGAGGATGATTCTTCTACACTCAGTTAAACCTCTTTGGAAATCCTGGCACAGGCACACTCATAGGTTGCTTTTTCAGCCTGAGTGATTCTAAGTCTGGTCAAGGTGACAATGAACATTAGCCATCACTGGGTGGTGGTAGTGCATGGCTTTAATTGGCAGAGGCAGGCAGATCTCTGCGAGTTTGAGGCCAGCCTGGTCTACAAGAACTAGTTCTAGGTCAGGCTCCAAAGCTACACAGAGAAAACCTGTCTCAGAGAGAGAGAGAGAGAGAGAGAGAGAGAGAGAGAGAGAGAGAGAGAGAGAGAGAGAGAGAATTAGCCACCACAATTATTAACATGTATTTGCACTTATGCAGTGCATGTTCTTCATTTCCCTTAGCACAATATCCTCAAATGTCAACTATATTGTTGTGTAAACAGTAATGAGCTTCCTTTTTTAAAACTCTGAATCATTATATGTATTTAGCACATTTTTTAACAATTTATCCGTTAGTATTAGCTATTTCAAATAATATGGTAAACAACACAGGGTGCACATATCTCTTCAAGATCCTGTTTTCATTTGGGCAGTTTCATTTCTGTTATGTTAGAAATGGGATCAATGAGGAAATTAGCTTCTGCCTTAAAAACGTTACTAGAAACCTGAGAATTTTTACCTCTGGGTATCTCTTGGAAAACATAATAGATGATATCTCAAAGCTACTCCTACCTACTTCAAACACGTTTCCAAATAGCAGGCCACCATGTGAAGTGCTGCATATTCATTAAGAAGAGCTAAAAATGGTAAAGAAATGGATACCAGTGGGTTTCTAGGCTATGATACAAAAGCAGTCTCCCAAAGGGTTCCTTCTTTCATCCATGAAACTTAGGTGCCAATTATCAGCAACTTATTCCCATGTTTCATTCGTACTTTGAGAGACAAGTATATGAACAAGTAATTGTGGTGTATATCATAAGCAATACGTTTTCAGTGCAATTGGAACATGGAGAAGGAGGCACACTGCTTGTTGGGTCAGGGAGTCAATAACAGAGTCCACTACCAGTCTTCCTTTTCCTGCCTCTGCCTTCTGTAGTCTGGTCTCCAGGTAGAAGCCAGAATTCTCATGTCTAAAAGTCTAACCCCAGGCAGGCAGTGGTGGCTCATGCCTTTAACCCCAGCACCAGGGAGTCAGAGGCAGGCGGATCTCCTTGAGTTCAAGGCCAGGCTGGTTGAAAGAGCGAGTTTCAGGCCTGTGAGGATGGTTACACGGAGAAATCCTCTCCCCCCCCAAAAAAACAAATACAACCGAAACATAACTTAAGATTCCTTAACTTAAAAGCTTTGCATGGTTTCCTCATTTATTTCCTTGAGGTCCACATACAGTCTTATCTACTCCATTCACCTAGCTGGATTCTACATCTTTTCTGGTTTACTCTATTCCAATTAAACCAGTCCCTTTATGTCCTTTATGTCCTGTACTTCTGGAACATGTCAGGTGCCATTCCTTCCTCAGGGCGTTTTGCACCTCTTAAGAATACTCTACCTACAATATACTTCTCTTAAAAATCATCTTTGCTCGCTGGACAAGGTGGCACACATCTAAAGGAGGATTGTGAATTTGAGGCTAATGTAGATAACTTAATGAGTTTCGTGTCAGTCCGAGTTATCCAATGAGAGCGCTTGTCTTTAAAAAAGTTACTTGATATTTCACTTTATTGAAGGTAGTGTTACTGTAAGAGGTCTTCAATGCTCATGTATATGAGTTAATACCCCCATCATAGCCTCATTTCCTTGCCTTAGTCTCCATGTTACTGTTTAGTTGATTTAGTTGATTTTAGATACTTAACTATGTATTTCCTCCATCTAAATACTGGCTCCATGATGATGAAGATTGTTATGTGTCTTATTTAATGCTGGACACTTCCAGGATGCTTCCTGACACACAGTAACCAATAAATACTTGTTCAATGACGAAAGGAAGGAAATGGGATCATTTCCTGACAGCAAAATAAGGTTAACAGGGAGTTTTGTTGTTTTTAAACATAGTAGGTATGTAGATGTGTTTTAGTTCTTAAAATTCTTAAACTGAGAGAGATAAGGGCTCAAGACAAAATAGGGTAATGTTAGAGTTCAGTCTCCAGGGAGCATGAAAAAGACACAAGGAAGTCTGCCTGAGTGACAGATTGAGTTTTGGAAAGGAGAGGAAATTCTTTTGTTCTCCATCAAGATAAATAAAGGAAAAGGTCCATTATAGAAGGAAAATGTAGAATTCGGTGAGTGCATCAGGTTCTATGTTTGTGATTATTGTTTGCATTATATTTATCATCTTTGTGTGTGTATGAAATGTGTAGGAAGGAAGCTTGTATATACTATGCATGTCATACATATGGAGGCCAAAGGACACTCTATGAAATTCATTCTTCCTCTATGGGTTCTAGGAATTGACCTAAGGTCATTAGACCTGTGTAACAAACATTTTTATGCCCTGAACCATCTAGCTAGCACTGCTTTGCTTAATTTTAGTGAACATTCTAATTATTTAATCTTGACAAAAAATCTTGTTTGGTACCTGTTATTTTAACATTTTTTTAAAAAC